ACACTCCCTCCCGCCTCACCCAGGCGGGGGCAGTCATTCGATGATTTTCCCCCCTTAAAAAAAAAAAAAAAAAGTAATTGAATTTAGAAGTTAGATACAAGGGATATATGAATAGAAAATTGAAGTTGTTAAGACAATTATATAGTTTTAAATTGATTATGAAATCTGTCATAACATACGATAACATCGCGCCCTTTTAGAGTGGGTGTTACATTGTTGTAACACCCACTCTTCAATATTTATGTTATGAGTCCCGTGTAATAGGGGGTGAGCCTATTGCTATATACCGTGCACATTTCCAGACTGCTACTGCTAAGATTTTTAAAACCCAGTAATACTTTGCCCGACCCCGGAATCGAACCCGAGACCCATTGCACAGCAGTAGCACTTCGCAACTACTCGGCCAATGAGGCAGTGAATAAATAAGATAGAATAATAAATAGCACTAATACCTTACAACAATAATAGTCCGGTATTCTAAATTGTCAAGAGCATTTGTCTGGCACTGACATCATTTGGATGCGCACGCATTTCATTTATCCTAGTTCGCTGCGGTCCAATTGACCGGACAGAATTGTTCGTACCTACACTATTTGTATCTATTTACTTTTTTAAGCACTGTTCAATCTATTGTAAGATGTTGTTTATGATACAACAGTGAAGTTGTTTTATTATGTAATCTCAGCAGCTGTAGCCAAATGCCATTTAGCGCTTATCTACATGTAGGATAGAAAACCAAATTATATGGAATAGACGTAAATTTTGACACTTGTCAGTGTCATCCCCATACATTTAGTTTTCTACTCTCTCTGTAGACTAGCGCCAAAGTGGCGTTTAGCTAAAGGCCCTGCAATCCACAATAATTCCTTGTATAACGTCCTTTTATTAAAAGCTATAACTAAACGCTTTTTTTTCTCAAACTCTAACTCAAAAGCATTTATGTCAATGAAACGATAATTTGGTACTTTTGATACGTCAATAAATATAAAATAAATAATGGTCTGTATTTCTGTCCGTCAGTGAAGCAAGGCGCTCGTTCCAAAATGTAGATTCGAGTGGAGAAGAACGAGCAAGAAACTCCATTCGTAACTCCTTTAAAAAAATTATGTTTTTCAATTCGGAGTTTTACGAACTGCTGTTTTCCACAATTTTGCAATAATAACAGTCTGTATGCAATAGGTAGATAATCTACTAAAATTTTTTGAGTAACAAAAATCTCAATAATTCTTATACTGATGTGCGAATCCATACCGACTCTGAGCCCATCATAGTTTTAAATGACATGATACCAAAATTCCATTCTACTAAAAAAACAAACAATAGATTATAAGCGGTCCAAAGACCAAACTTGGAACCCATTCACGACGGTCGGCTTAATGAAACACTATAATCATCAAATACAATACACCACTATGACACCTATATTAAGACTAAGTAATTTAATTATTCATGCAATAATGGCCCATTCATAAGCCGTTATCAACGCAATATTATCACTTGTAATGTCACCTAATTATCATATAATAATGCATTGTAATTAACTAATTACTAAGTTGGTGTGTCCCTGGGCAAGTTCTTATTACAATTGATACTAATATCACACCTTTAAGTTATCAATAAGGTAGATAGGTATTTTTTATGGAATAAGCCGGTAAACGAGCAGAAGGATCACCTGATGGTAAGCAATCGCCCATGGACACCCGAAACACTAGAGGTGCTACAAAAGCGTTACCGGCCTTTTGGGGATTAGGAATTTGAGGATTGTTGAGGATTCGGGGTTTGAAGAGATTGAGGAGGTAATTGGGCCTCCGGTGACCTCACTCACACGACGAAACACAACGCAAGTGTTGTTTCACGTCGGTTTTCTGAGAGGCCGTGGTACCACTTCGGTCGAGCTGGCCCATTGATGCCGAAGCATGGGTCTACCACAGTTATATCACCACAGATATACCACAGATACCACAGATATTTCTTTCAGTTATGTAATAAATCGCATTTGTAATGGAGAGAAGTTATTATTAAACATAGGGCTCGATTTATGCCGAGAATTCTTAAATTGTATTTTTTACTTGGTTCAGAAGTCAATCCCAAGATCCTTGTGCTCGGCAGACACACTACTCTCACTTATCAGGAATCACAACCACAACGATTAAACAATTGAACCTCTCCGATGAAGTGACTTATCTTCCTAAGCCACTATAGAGAATCTTTTTAATGCATTATATCAGGATCAAATGACGAAAGCCCTTCCACCTAATAATTTTCCTCTCATTCCTCTACTACATAATTTTACCACAATTTCCATACATCATAAGTGAAATCTCGATATTACAGAAGCAAACAAATAATAAAAACTGGTGCAGTCATACCCAGTACATACCCAAACTTGTATCCATGGCAGCAGATCAACCTACACCCTAACGAATTTGGATAATGAATTTTCAACTCTCACTGTTTTGTAATTAAGTTGAAACTCAATGCCAATCGGTTTGGACAGGTTGGGGTACCTTGATAAGCGTCTGTACGTACTGGTGAGAGTCCCTCTCTATGGAACCACTTATCTGAGACGTATAAGGCGAGTCGACAATTTGTCGCCACTCAAACTGTTTTCACTCAACGCCTCAGGCTGGACTCGTCAGGTCTTGCTTGAATATTGAACTGACAAACATACAAACAGTCCAGAAGTTTGTTTTATGTTGTTTGACATCGATCTGTAATTACAATGAGGCTAAGAGGTTCGATAACATCGATCCCTAAATTATTCAAACTTAGTTATCCATGTTCGATTTCAAAATTTTCTATAGACAACCTTCGGATGGTATCTACCTTTTTTATGTAATAAGCCAGTAAAAGAGCAGAGGGAGCACCTGATAGTAAGCAATCGGCGTCGCCCGTGCCCACGGGCATGCGTCTGGTACCCAAAGGCGTTATAAGTGCGTTACCGGCCATTTGGGGATTAGGAATTTGAGGATTGTTGGGGATTCAGGGATTTGGGAGATTGGGAACGAGGAGTGCCGTGCCTCCGGTAACCTCACTGACACAACGAAACATAACGCAAGCATTGTTTCAAGTCACATTACTACCTATTCGGAATTTAGGAAGAGGTAATTCCTTTGTGACATGTTCTTGTGTCTAATAACTTAACAGTATATTGAATGCACGCAGTTTTGGTACGACAACGTGCACCAATTTCGACCTTATCTACCTTTTAAGAAAAGAGGATTTCATATCGTCTAATCACTTTCATTTAAGCGCGACCCACCATCAGCTGATTCGACGTCTTCAAAGATCAGTCAAGGTTGTCATAAATCTTGATGAATGGTTCAGTACGCACAGACTTCATTCATGCGAACACGTTCCGACTTAACACCTTATAAATGTGCCTATGTATGTCGCTACTATGAAAGCGGTTGATTTGTACGAGTAATATGAATAATTCATATATGTTTATTTTACTGCTATTAGGGTGAAAGCAGGGCTACCAAAAGAAAAATTATTAACCCTAAGATCTCTTGACTGCCTCGTTGGCCGAGTGGTCGGATGTGCGACGTGCGATGTGCATGGGGTCTCGAGTTCGATTCCCGGTTCGGGCTTTACTTAAGTATTACTGAGTTTTAAAAAAATCGTGATGTTATATTATGTCAATCTGGTGGTTAATGTTTCTTAAAATTGTATCACCCACATTGCAAACTTATGCTGAACACAAAAAAATATTAGCCTTATTGTTATTAATTTTATAGTACAAAGTCCAAAAACAGTAGAATTTACGTCCACACTTTAGATTCTGCTGCCTTTTTTACAAAATAGCTATCCACCATATACTCAATTCTACTTTCTAGTCTACTCTTCAAAAATACAAATGTTAGCACTTTAATATTGGATAGATATTAAATACTCCTTTTTATCTCCGAAGGATTAAGCAAAGGGGCACATTACGGTACTTAATACCACTGTACTTACAACGTAGTACCCACTTTTCACTATTGCCATATACCGGGCACAATTCCTGACTTTGCTACTATTGAGATTAAAAAAAACAGTTTTACTTTGTCCGAGACGAGAATCGAACCTGAGTCCCTTGCCCGGCAGTCGCACATGCAACCACTATACCTACTAGCTAACGAGCTAACAAGTCCACCCTCACTATACTTTGTCCATAAACTATAATACAACGTAAAATGTAATTGAAATGTAAATGAAACAAGTTATGTTTACAATTACTCAACTTTAGTATGTTTTTTGACCTAAACAAGGATTATATTCGAGTAACAACAGGTTTTGTATTGATGCTGAGAATGTATGCATGAGGTCATGACCGCCTAATAGGAGATATTGTTCCTTTCAACTGTTGCCATCAATGTTAAGGTGTCTATTCTTACAAATGGTTTTAAAGGTCCGTGGAATTTCATTAAAATAATCTTAGTGTCGTTGTGTTCTATAAAGACTCAAAAATAGGGCTTATAACTGTATATTTACTAGTAAACAAATATCATTTTATTTTTATGACTTTATATGAACAAATTTAATGTAAAAACCGTTCACTAAACCAAAAACTTTAAGAGTAGCCATGTTCAAAGTAAAAATATGCTTGATAAAAAATGCACTCCAATGCAATTTTAATCAAATTGTAATTCAATTTTAATACCGTAACTATTAATCATTTAAACTCAGCCAACGCCGTACTATATAGGTTTAAGTATTAAAATTAATTTATTGTGAGTTGTCACATAGCTCGATAGATGGCGTTGATCGATTTCAATGCAAGTTATGGTTTCGTCACCGTCAAAACATTAGGTTTATTAGTTTGACATTAAATAAATGTTTCGCTCTGAGGTAGGTAGTTTCTTACGAGTACCAAGGTTTCAAAGGACCTAGTCCCGATAGTATACAAGCCATGAAGTTCCTTACTCATTCCGTTTCTTACGTTAGAAATCTTCGCTTAAAAATGCGAAAATGGTTGCATTAATAAACTGAACTCGGTCATCAATAAAACAACATGGTTCCAGGATAATTTCAAGAAAGTTTTTATTTGTTTGTAAACGTTAAACATCCAAGGAGACAATCTTACCGCTAAACCTCTATTCACAGTCGCTCCTAAACAAATAAATAGCTCACAAATATATAATCAAAAACAATATTCTAGTATCACTATTTATTTATACAAAGGCATTACTTTATAACTCGTCCTTGCAAATTATGGATAACTTAGATTCTCACAACATATTGAAGCTAATAAATAAGTAGGTATTACATGTTAAAACCTGGCATTATTTTTTTAAGAAGAAAATACTCTTCTTTTCCTATGAATGATGATATTTGGTAACAGGAGTCAATCATAAATTGCAAACTCAGTGCATTAGAGAAGATTTTGCTACCAACAATCTAATTGATCTTTAGACAAGCCATAAACCAAAAAAAAACTCTCATTTAGGCACGTAAATCTTCAAAAACAATGTCAAAGTTATCCCTAATTTACAAAAAATAAACAAAATGCCAGTAACTAACTAAAAATGAAAGATAATGTAACGAATATTTGGTATAATGGGTACAAAGGAGACTATCCTAAGTATAAATTAAAACATTTATATATCTTAATCTATAGTTACATTACATTTTATATACATTCCAGTGAAAAGTTTAAACTGTGAGAAGTGTAAGAAAACAAATAGGTACAAGGAACTTTATATATTGGTGACAATAGCTGCTATTAGAATATAAATATATGAAAGTTTTCAAAGAATCTATTCTCACACAAACAGATCTTCATGTGTATGTCTGGATGTGACGTATAATTGCTTTTTAAAGAAACTGTGACACACGAGAAAATTTCAGTATGGTACAAAATTTTATATTAAAAAGAAGGTTAGCTATACAGGGTGTAAACGGAACGCTCCCGAAAAACGCCGACAGATTATGGTCAAAAACCAGTTTTATTTTCATTGAAAGTAAGGAATTAAATTTTTCCTTTATGTAATAATGGCTGTAATTAACCGCTCAAGGCTAACGTTGTATGAATAACATTTAAACAACAACGATTTGAATTTTAAAAACTATTAGTTCCGTTTACACCCTGTATTGAGAATAACGTCACAATTAAAAAGTTACGCAATTCCGCTATTCGAATTTCAAAGACTTAAATGAGTATTTTGTTATCTACGTATGATTGTAGTATGTCCATCATTTATTTTTATATATCTAAGAACTATATAGATATTATATATTACGAGTTTTTATGTATCTAATATTAATTTTCTTTGTAAATAACTAGTACAAATGAGTTTGTAACTTCAAGATCTATTTCATAATTCCATGTAAGCAATCAACTTGAGTCATATAATGATGCAGTTTTAATTTACTTTATACCAAACAAAATGACATTCTGTCTTCAATAAAAAAGGTACAACGTATCGCATTCACTCCTATTCTACAATAAGGTATAAATTTGGTATTTCACATTATAATTTAAAGCTAAAATTTCATATTGAGTATTCAATGTACTTACTATACACGCCTAGTACATTCAACTAGGTTTACCGTAATATAATATTATATAAAAAGTATAAAGGACTCTAACACTAATATATAAAAGGTTCAAAATTATTTGCTTTCTATAAAACTCCAGAAACTACAATTATAATTATTATGCAAAGCATTATATAATGAGAATGAGTTGTAACGTTTGAAAAATTCATTTTATCGTATAAAACAGTAGTATATAATTTTCAATATATTAAAGTGGTATTATACAGGAATCGTAACTTCTAGGTAGGATTAAAATTATAAAGCCAGTGTTCAAGATTTTTAAATAAATTTAAATATAAATTGAGAATGATCTTGTACAATTAGATAGAGAATATTGAAGAAGGCATCACTGAAACAAAAATAAAATTTGATTTTGAGATATATTGTGTTATATACACTCAATGATTTTGGTCACTGAGTCAAATCGCAATCATACAATATTTGAGCAAGATTTTAAATATAAAATATATTATTATGAATTCATAAGTATCATAGAGAAATATAAACAATTATTTAGTAGCAGCTTCAGGCGTGCGAAATTCATAAGATTGTTTTTTTTTAGCAAGATAAATAAATTTGTAATAAAATCTGTTATAAAAATCTTGCACAGGTATACTTTAATTCACTCATCTCATCTGCTATCAAACTCTACTGAGTAATATAAAATGTTAATACAAAATCATTGTATAATGTCTTCGAAATGAAATTGAAATATTCATAAGTAGTGGACGAAATTGCTAAGTCTATAACTATAGACAATGAAAACGTGATGCATGGCGACCATATTTAATGTATCTACGACTGGACTACTCTCATAATAAGCTCCAAAAATTTCTTATCCATACGACTTTGGTGTTACATTTTGCCTAACTACTGGGTCCAAGGTATCGCTACAAGTTAAAAATTTATCAAAAATTACTGACACTACTACACTTTTGTCCCAAAAATATCCGCTACAAAATCTCTAATATCTGCTCAGACTATTTCGCTTTTCATAGTAAAAAGTACTTTATTATCATAACAAATATTATCATGTATTGTTTTTAAGTCAAAAATTCTCAAAAAAATATCGTTAGGTCGATAGAATTTATTGTTCCCTCTGTACTATGGAATAATACGCGCTATATATACGTAGCTGAAACAAAAAATATTGTAAAAGGAACGTATAAAACAATGTAACCTAATGGAAGACTTTCGTTTTGAATCAAAGTGCATCATAAACATTACGCATCGGCGATTGAGAGATATAACTGCTATAGTGGAATGTGGAATGAATACAATCTCTACAAATACTTACTAACTAATCCCTAACTGATCCTACGTACGTCTAAGTAAACAAGAAGAAATATGAACACATAACTTATCCATTAATAGGTTCACATTCAATATATTAACAATACATTTAACACTAAAAACTTGCAGAAAAATTCACATCTAAAATGTAAAGCGCTAAAATCAATAAAATCCAACCCGTTTAATTGTGAAATACTGCGTCTCAACATCAGTTCAAACACTGAACACTGAACATATGAAACCTTCCACTACATCTAATGGGTCGGTAGGACATGTTACTCATATCTTATTATTGTATTCGCTCTGGTGTCCACTGCATTAGCTGAGACTATGGCACTAACATCCAACTACCACATGTCTACATGTATGATTCCGAAAGTACCACGGTTCACACCCTGAAAGACAGCGCTGTGCTCCAGTACCTCCGAGCCGGTCGCTACATGTAAGCAGGCTTCATCTTGTACGCTCGTTTCCATATCTCGCACAGGCACACTGTCGAGTGGAACCTGTAGAAGATAGCCAGAGGCATCGACACATGAGTGATGATCGTCCAAGCCCACAACCCATAGAAATGGAGCTGCACAGGATGAGACTCTGCTCTGGACTTCTCAAGCGTATTTATCGCCCACATTGCCAAATTCGTCACCAATAAGAACGTCACTATTTCTCTTCCTGGCTTTTTCCGTAACTGTTCGGCTGTCTTCGCTGATCTTCGACTCGCATCGAGAATAAACATGGTTTGACATGTAGTCTGGATCAAGGAGGACAAAGCTGTTATCAATATGAGAATAGTATTCTTCTCTATTGTAAAATGTCCTCCAATAATTGTGAAAGTTCCGTAGATGAACATTCCAGTTTGAGCTCCTACCAGAAGGATATTATCTAGCTCAAGATTTCGGTTTCCATCATACTTTAGCTTCCTGACACAGACCATTCCCGCTAAACTAGCAAATGTTGTCATAGCATACAATGCTAACTCACAAACGTTGACTTCAACTACTGCGAGGGTCGCATAATCTTTCTTTGACACCAAAACAAAGAAGAGTATCAATGATATTATAGTTAGTACCAAAACTAGGATTCCGAAGAAGAGGCCTTTGTGAGCTCGTGCACAGTCGACGCTGTACAAATGTGGGGATTTTTTGTAGGCGAGACCTTCTAGTATACGAGCTTTGACTATAGCTGCCGCAACGTCTTTCGATGGGTATTTGGAAATGTTCTTCCACATGACGTAAAGAATAGCAGCGCAGATGAGAGAGTATTCGATGGTACAAGGGAAGAGGAATGGAGATGCATCCTGGACGAGGGATCCCATAATGTTTGTTCGACGGCACTCGAAGATGTGGTGAGGGCCTTTGAGACCTCTTGGGACGCGAAGGTGGGCAGCGGCTGGATGAGATGGGGGCACGTCGGTTGTCAACGACGCAAACGCCTTTTGGAACGCTGGAATCAAAACAAATACTAATAAGTATATTTTTGATCCTTCACAAATCGGATTGAGGATCAATAAACACCGGTTGAAGTAGAGCAAGCCGTATTACTGTATTAGGTGTGTTGTATAGCTAAATCATCCAATACGTATAATTTCCTATCGGCATGGCAGGCAGGAATGTGGGTCACGATGCCTTCCGGGCGGGTCGCAGTGGAACGCAATCAACATGCCTCCCTGACATTTCTCGATGATAAGGACAAACTAATTGGAAATCTGCATCTACTTCCATATTTTGCAGATGCTTTTTTTGGGTTCAGACAAACACGGAGGATTGTAAATTGTATCAATTACTTTTAAGTTAAGAAAGAGTTACGTCGAAATTTCTGGTTTCTGATTTTAAATTATTTATTTGGATGTTAAACAAAAACGGATTGTTTTTGTGTTGCTATTAAATTAAAGGTATCCCCTTTAATTTTATCGACTAAAATAAAGTTCAAGTAGTTTTAGCAAAGCATCGTAAAATAATAGGTATAGATGTGACCACAGGTGAATCATCGTGCATGTAATCATCAACTTTGTAAAATTGCCTAATCTAATCAAACAAGCAATTTCATTTTCTGTATCTATCTAAATATTAAACGTAATGAATTCATTTAAGTAAAGGCAGGCGAACACACGCGTAACCATAAAGGATAGTACTAAAATAACCATAAAATGCGCGATGGAAGTTGCAAAAGGGGTTAAAAGTGAATAAATTGTAACAAAGGGATGTTACGGGAACAAATGAAGCGGCCGATCTCTTGGGTAGCAGAAATTACTTTAGGCGATATGCTTTGAGAATTATACGAGCACAAATTTGTTTATTAACATTTATAAATTCATTAATATGTAATTGAATTTAATGTGTTTTGGCTATGAAACATGTATTTGTGCATATTAAGTTACTATTAGCCACGGTAATTAGGACATATTGGACTTCCTGTAAACCCCATAGGTTTTTTTTTATAATGTTACAGATTAATTCTCCACGGACTCTCGATCCGTGCTCTTGTCATACAATTAAGATACTATCGTTACTAACCCTTAAACTACCAAAAACTATTGAATCGTTGAAAAAACTCAAAGTACAATAAAAAATCCTATATGACCGACCGAGCAAACAAAATGCCCTCGTCAGCTTTCCCGCCAAATCGCTGGCTTTTATAGCGGGAAAAAAGATATGAGTCGTTGGTTGACAATTGCTTTTTCGGGGCCTCAGAATGGTGGCTTTTATTCAGTTTGCTGTACGAAAATGTTCACATCTTTTGGCTATATAAAAAGGACCTAGTAGCTATTAACAACTTTTCAATTTAAAGTTTTTATGAGTCGATGAATGAAGTGTGGGAGGGCCATGCTTCGGCTCGTACGTGACTTCGACCGGAGTGATACCACAGCCTCACAGAAAACCGACGTGAAACAACGCTTGCACCGTGCCTCGTCGTGTGACTGAGGTTACAGGACCCCCCCCCCTTCCCAGTCTTCCCAATCCCCGTATCCCCGCATCCCCAATCCGCATATTCCTAATTCCCAAAAGGCCGGTAACGCACTAAATGTCATTTGAGAAAAAAGGTACCGTAGTTAGCACAGGATGCGCAACCGGCTGCTGCAGAAGTTGCCCGATTCGTCTAAAAAATACCTATGAAATGTTGAATACATTACCAATCTTACTGAAAACTAAACAATTGTTTAACCTTTAAAACACAGAACCGGGTACTTTCCTACCAACTAGCGTTACCATATGAATCAAATCAGTGAGGAACTTGTGACAATATCCCGCCACAGCGAGTGTTCACTGACAACGATTAATCCAATTATACCGGCAAATGAAATTATTGGAAAACTGTGTAACTTTGTTACTGTCATCGGTTTTAGTGTTAAATGTATTAGCTTAGGTCGGTGAAGCGCGTCGTATGTGTTTTGGGATCGAGATTATTAGGTTAGGCCTAGCTTTTGATGTATTATGGTATAAACTGTCAATGGTTTTCTAACTAGTATAATGCGTCTATTTAGATATTGTGAGGAAATGATTCTTAATCGGGTCGTTTCTTGTCTATCGGTGGTACCGTAAAAAAAGAATAGCGTCTAAAAGAAGGTTTACCAAAGAGTTTAAATCTATAAAAATACTGATTTCCCAGAATAGGGAGGGATATGGGATAGTTACAGCATTTTTATTCGATCATAAATTAAATAAGTGTCACGAAACTTTTTATTAGTTCGGTAACTCAGACAGATCAAAAGGATCAAAACTAACACGAATCAAATCAAATCAAATCAATTTATTTGTGAACACAGGTTATACAGAAGGTTGTTTAACATACATTAATAGCATCTCTATGTTCTACCAATAAAATTGGTGTACAAATAGTTATTAAGTTAGGCAGGTACCAAGCATTATAAATATATTTAAATTAAACAAGTCTATAAGAATCGTGATAGTATGTCAAAATTTATCATTTAGAAATAGGTCAATATAATATTATGTCTTGTCAATTAAAAATAATGTCAGTTTTCGTTTAAAAAGTCTAATATTATTTTCGTTTCTTATATATTTAGGCAGTTTATTGTAAATTTTTGGAGCCATTGCAAAGATACTGTTCCTGTACAGTGCAGTTCTAGATTTTACTAAGTGTAACTGGTCACAACGACGTTGACTGGTTACTCGGTCAAAATTATTAAAATTGTTTTTGACGAACGTACGAACGAACGCAGCCTAACAGTTACAAAACAATTACAAAAAGCCAAAAATAACAATTTACTTCCGTACAACGCTTACTTAATACCCCATAACGGCAACTAGTTATACCAATGAAACAAAATTGGGCATAGTGTACACAACACCTTATTTTGTTCTACTAGAGTACACAATATCGATCGCTAGTATGAAGTCTTTAGTCTATGGACGTAGTATAATCGTGTCGCACGGCAGTTCATTCAAAATGTCCAGCGGCAGCGGCCCGACAACTCGACCGACGTATTAATATTATGTAGCTTTTATAAATGTATCGTATATCGATTTTTAATACTTTATTATTTATCTATTATTCAATGATTGGAGTTACTAGCAACAGCCAGCAAATGAGCGTCAAACAATAGTATATTGTTTTAGCGTATTTATTCGTAGTATTTATTGCTAAAGTTATTTTTAACTTTATATACTAGATGATTAACATTACATAAAAGCACGGTCTTCGTGACTGCTGACTCTTGAATTTTAATGCTATTTAATTTAACCGAAGTAAAATGTTTTTTTACTAAACATACTTAATACTTGCACACAATGTAAACTATGCTAGAATTTTTTTTACAATCGAACAAAAACATAAGGTTAAAGACTTCTTGCTGGTAATAAAAGTTAACACAGGCCATTTTTGCAAGAAGAAATAAAATGACGCCATATAATAAATTAAGAAAAAAAACATTAAAAACAAAATGTAAAGGCATCTTCAAGTTTTTCTTCTAACACCAGCCAGCTCTTAAAGCCAGACATAAAACCTATTTTATTGCAAAGAGTCGAGTTTTTATCAATGTCGAAATATTTGTAAAAAATTGTGAAAATGTAACATTAATGCACTAATCCTTAACTTTGAGATACCTAATTAATTTTGAAAAAATAAAAAATGTATGTATCAGTTTGTTAAATGTTTATACCTAACTGTAGGAAGAGTGGATGAAAATCAACTTACCAAGTCGATGTGACAGTCCAATAGTTTTGTTCTCCGGATCGTAGAAAGTTAGGATTTCGTGTTTCGTTTCTTGAACCAGTACGTTGAGCCAAACACTGAGGTTGGTTCCAACCATATGCATCAGGCCAAACCGGGCTACAATCTTATGCTTGTACACTTTCATCTGAAAAGTGAGTGATAGTGATAAATGATAATGGCGGGATTGGCGGGTACACAATGGATAGCGCTGGCATCACTGCGAATTTAATTGATAGATAGCTGTTTGCTTCGTGGGAATGTGTCGTATAAATGTTTAATGGTGGTCGTTTGTTTATTACGGTAAATAATGCCTAAATAGTACTGCACGGTAGGCGCAGGGGTTGTGTCACCGTTTACTGTATTAATATTCGAGTCCCTTGCCGGCCAAAAAGTGATATTGGCATTTTCTGAGTAAAATTACTATTATTAGCCCGGGTTCAGGAAGTTCATGCCTCATCATTCCCATGCCTCGGAAAGCACATAAAACCTGCGCCTGATCTCTTTTTGGTTGTGTCAGTCTACCGTCCCATCGGATTCAGACAGTGAGACAGAGAGTGTGTGTTTGAGTGCCTTGTGTGTGCGCACACACTTATGCACTATAAGTAATATCTCCTGCGTAGTGGGCTAGTGTAGTTAGACAGACTGGCCATCATGATCGAAATCGATCAGAGGATTTATTTATTTTAAAGGTTTAATAACATTGCTATAATGTTTGAGATTAGGTGAAATCGCTATTTACTAAGACGAAACTCTTATTATCATTTCAAGTGTCTCAATGAAAACTGGAGCCTAGACCTAGTATCGGTCGCGGAGAACCTAACGGGTAACGGGTAACCACCCCGTTCCTTCTCCGGCTCGACGTGCAGGAGAAGGAACGCAGTGGTTTTTAGTCAGTAAGAGTCTGACACTCCCTCCCGCCTCACCCAGGCGGGAGCAGTCATTCGATGATTTTCCCCCCTTAAAAAGAAAAAAAAAGACCTAGTATCGATCAGATTTTTATACTAACGTATTAGTATTACCTACTTCAAGCAAATACTACTTGTTTTTACCTAAGCAAACTATTTAATAACGAACTTTAACAATAACCTCATTTTCAAACGATAACGCACATTTCCATAATGTAAACAGCAAAAAATATAACTCAAATACATTTTCCCACAAAAGTTGTTGTAATTGGACTTTTTACAACTCCAAGGTTTCGAAAGCAAAACGAACGCCTACACGTTTTGTTTAGCAAAGAAAAACAAGTTAGTACAACGTCCTTGAATTTATTAGGAGTTCTAATCTATGGTTTAATTCCATAGACCTAATTTCGTTAATTTAAATATAGTAAGTAAGGCAATATTATTTGAGCCTTATTTCACATATTACACAATGTGCCTGTTGATTTATATTTTTAAGTACAGCAAATAAAATTAATGTTTTATGATATACCTAATTAAACTGTCAAACACCAAGCGGTCACCGGTGACCGCAACCTATTGTTCTATAATTGTGTCTACAAAACCGGTACTCGACGAGTTAAGAGAGTGTACAAAAACTTAATGAACATAGTAGGTACCGACTGGTACAAAGTCAAAATCATTTATTTCAATTAGACCAGGATACCAGCTCTTTTAAACGTCAACAATAAAATTTTAAAGTGAAGCTATTTGCTCATTCCAAGGTGTAGATTCCTATGGAGAAGAACGAGCAAGAAACTCCATAGGGTATACTCTTTTTCAATTAGATTCACAATACAATTCTTCTCAGAATAAGGAGTTTTAGTTTATGCAGGTTAAACTGCTATTTGAAAATTTTATTGCTCGAACTCCATTCAATATTAAGTCGCGCTTAAGCATAGTTCTATCACTACAAATTCTTTGAAAAATTTGACAGGATTTTTTTAAATAGGGGAATACTTCACGGGCTGTTCATCATCAACAGCCTATAAGTGCCCGCTGCTCAATGTGGGTTAGCGATTTCAAACTTATAATAAAAAAATATGCCCAGGTTTCTTCACGATGTTTTCCATCACCGTTTGTCAGTGGTGTCTAAATAATCTTAGAAAGTACATATAACTCGGAAAAGTTACCGGCTCATGATGATGATTAAAACCCAAACTTACCTCGTTATTAAGAAAGATGAAGTACATCTGTATAAAGATAAATGCCATCCTGGTGGCCGGTGTTAGGGCCAACAGAACGTTATGGCAATTGGTGTTCCTCTCCAACTCCCAATACTGACCAAACTCCAGACCTGAGTAGATCATGGAACCGATACCGAATGCTGAAATATAAAGAAAAACATTTAAGTATTTATGTAGATACCTAGCTAAATAATGGCAATAATAATGGAAACCGAGCCGAAGATGACAAATAATGTAATCGAAAAAATATATCACAAAATTATATTTCCGTTCTTTAAGAAATGTTCACAAATAACTTAATTGTAAATTTCCTAATAACAACATCACAAAATGTCTTACCATCCATCAATTACCTAGATAGTACACAAATTATTCTAACACAATAGGCCTAAACATGTACCCAACATGCCTAAGTTGCTGCCCAAAAAGGCGAGCGTACAAAGTTTGCCTTTCATTAGAAACTTTGTTACAAACTAATCTAGAGCTTAGACAAAGGCTCGCTAAACGGCCGTGTTTACTTGGACTGCTTCGACACGCCAAATTGATTTAGGGAAACAATTACAGCAGTCATTTACCGAGAGATTAACGGTACTTTGAGTATAGGTGCCGTAGGGGGGAAAGGTGATTAAGTAGCTGTGCTTGCTAAGCTCTGAATTTTATATGATAACAAATAACGGGTAGGTACTGCACGTGCGATATTGTATTAAATTAGTCGAATATTGAAAATATTTTAGTAGGTAATCTAAAAGTATTTTAAGCCGTGTAATACAATATTGACAGCTGCCAATTTCGGTACTATTCGTATATAAATCAAATAAGCCTCCGCTTCTCGTGGGTGTTATAGGAGTCAACTAAAGGACTTCACATTTAATAGAGACCAGGCAGCAGCGCTCTCTGAAAAACCTAAACAGTTTAAATGAGTTTTTCAACTCAAGCCAAGCATTTATATTAAAAAAAAATACAAATATCTACCTACTTACCTACTTGTGTTCAAAAGATCCTTAATACAGCAGTGGATTAAAACAGGTTGTTGATGTGAAACCATTACTAATCATATACTATGGTAATGATATGACAAGAGACAAAGCTCACCAACGGCCCCCATCCTCAAATAGAAACTCCCGTAGTGATGTGTGCGTGAGGCCAGCGCGAAGCCCAAAGACAGTCGTTTGGCAGCCAGGTGTGGAGGTATGTGGGCTGCCGTGGCCGTGCTCCGCTCCGTGCGAGATGAACAGGAGTCAGACTCCGATGGAGATGAACTTGAGTCTGATTCTGGAAGAGCAAATATAATAAAGAACTGGTGCCTGGGCAACTGGTTTCAGCCTAAAGTGTTGTAGGTCTAATTATCACATGGAGACCTTTCTTAAACTCGCTCTTTAGTGCAAAAAAAATACACCAAGAATCAAAAGATTTTCAATATCTGTAGGGAAAAGTGCATATATACATCAGACTAAAATTATAATATTCATTTTCATAACATTGTGTGTTGTGTCGGCTGCTTGTCTAGAGTGTCCGTTCCTACAAGAAAATATTTTAACGAACCACCGTCAGAAATGTAAATTGAGGATCTTATCACAAATTCACAGAAAGGGTCGAGTGTAAGAGCAATGGAGTAGGCAAAAATCGTAACAAAAAAATAAGAAAAATAGGGGTATAAAATATCCGTAAAACTGGCAGCAGAGTAACGCATTAGCTGGCATGTTTGTAGGCCCTCCACTGGGCTTTCCGCATCATTTAAATAACAAAATGTGGAATCGCGAGACTCGAGAACAAAAAAAAAGAAAAATCACCCCGTTTTTTCTACGACTGTCGCGTAGAAGCAGAAATAAAGGCACAACGCATGATTGAAACAAAGGGTGAGTTAAAAAGTTGTGTGCGTTTACGTCACAAGCCTCAGATTGGTAATACCCGATTTGGCATTTACGATAGGGCTTTGATTCGCTTGTTCTATTTTCGGAATAGAGATGTTTGAAACTTGTCGACTGAATAATGAATCAAAGGATTTCGCGAGTCGTGGGTGTGACATTTGTAACTTTAATTTGTTCCAAACATAAAGGAAATTTAACACTAGCTAATTGTCTAAACCTACTACTATCTTTTCTAAAAATACAAAATCGAGAAATTACGATCTCTACCTAACCATAACTAAAAAGCATAACATTTTTTATCATCGAAATCGAATACATAATAAATATACCTATTGGTAGAAAACTCATTTATTTTCTCGCAACACCTGTAAAGGCAATCGTCGAAAAGAAAACGTGAAAAAGTTGCCCCTTTGAAGCAATATATAGCCGCAAGCACTTTGTGCAGGTTCTTTCTATCGAGGCATCTCCACGTTGGTAATGATGCAATTTAGACTCGACGCCGTCAAACCGAGTTTCCAGCCCAATCTAGCTTACATTTATGAAAAATATTTTTAATGAAGTGAAGAATATTTTTAAAGTATTTCATATTAAGTTGCATCTCGTTCTTGTTTGCCCTATATTGTATATCTACTACAAATGATCGTACCTACGAACATAAGAATTTAATATACGTATATTTTTTTTCTTATATACTGTTTCCAAACGCCTATTATATACATATAACAATGCATAGGAAAATAATTCAATATACTGACTTGCAACAACTGTAGTGTCTGGAGCTGATGACCTTGACCTGTCCCTCGCGAGGGCTGCATACATGTATAGGAGGAACACCATACTGCCGATGTACAGGTATAGGTAGAAACCCTGGTAACAAATACATTATCAAATTATGTAGTCAAAAACATCTCTGATTCGGGAATTGAACTTGAAACTCTTCACTCGGCAGTCTCACCACCACTCGAGAAATAAGGCAGTCAAACTCTAAACTAGATCACTATAATAATATGTATGTGTAAAATTAAATATTATTCTAAACTGGATCACGTTTAAAACATCAATAAAATAATAAGTGTAGGCAAATGTGGGAGAACCATGCTTGAATGAGCCGGTTCCACGGCCTCACAGAAAACCGACGTGAAACAACGCTTGCATTGTGTTTCGTCGTGTGATTACACACCCATCGCCCCCCCCCCCCCCCAATCTCTCCAATCCCTGAATCCCCAACAATTCTCAAATTCTATATGCCCAAAAGGCCGGTAACGCACTTGTAACACCCCTGGTGTTTCGGGTGTCCATGGGCGACGCCGATTGCTTACCATCAGGTGACCCGTCTACCCGTTTACCGGCCCGTCCCATAAAAAAGGCTAAAATACTCAACAAGTTATTATATATTACACATCTAATTTCAAGTATGGTATGATAAGGTCAATAACCATCCGAATATATACACTTTCGAGATTAATAATAAATAATTAATAGACTTTAACTTATGAAATCAATACCAGAAGTTTGAAAGTTAATCGCTTTTTCATTAAACCCGCAATTACGATCCCAAAGGTTCTTAAATTTCAATTATATTTTAATTGTTTAACGACAAGGAGAACTCTCGATTATATGTATTTCGAATTAATTAAACGATGTTATAAAAATTAAACTTCATATTGTTTCATTTTATAAGGAAAATAGGGCTATGAAAATGATAAATTAGAGCCTATTCTATGCAAACAACGAAACAATAAAATATTTCCTCTTCATAATATTACTTAGTTCTAGACTGTAAAGAAGTGACGTCATTTAAAGAAGACGGTAGAATAATAATTTCGTCTAACAACATATGCGTCATAACTTACCTCATAGAATGAGGGTGGAATGTAGGTGGAGATGACCTCAGCCATGGGGAAGGCGATGCCCATAACAACGAGCAGCTTCCCGTAGAGAGCCGACAGTGTTGTGGCTAACGCGTCGCTTCTGTTAAGACAATGAGAATGAACAATATTTCTTAATATGTGTGTCTTTACCATTCAATGGACCACAGCGTCCCGGTCATTTGGGAGGCACAAATGTAAAGGTAGGACAAAGGTTATGGACACACAAACCGGTGACTATACCTATATGCACTAGATTATTATATTTATTATGTAAAGCAGTCTGTTGATGACGCGTGTAGTGTGTAGATGGAATAAGATTTTCAAAAGACAACTAAACTAACCGCTCGCAAAGAAAAAAAATGCTTACTAGCCCCAAAGATTACTTAAATTTTACTTGTCAACAAGAACCTATTAACAAAAAGAAATACAATACCTATCTATATAAATAGGTTGGTCAGCTTTGTACACCACATTGTTATTCATTATACATACAATTTAAAATTGTATAATTAATAATTTAGTTAGCGACCACTGGGTAATTGCACCGGCCCGGAGTTTATTAGATCATCCGACCTCGAAATAGGGTTGTTTATTTGCAATTTAGATTACAGGGTTGCGAGACGTGCAAAATGACAATTGGTTCAGGTAAGTAAACAAAACAATCTTATTTAGTTACTCACTTTGAGAGTCCAACTGCCGAGAAAAAAAATAAAAATAAAAGCCTGGGTCCAATGATTAATGACTTACATTCATATCAACTGTAAAGCGATGACGATAGTAAGTCATATAACTGAAACTAACTTTATTGCACTACTCCATAAAGTTAGGTATTAAACGAATAACCTGTGTGCATGCAAGCAGCTTCAATTGGGTACTTGCCAACTAGTCATACTCAATACTTTTTTCGAAGTGTCAAAAACGACAGTTTTCTTTGAATTTTGTACGAGATTGTATATATTTGTGTGACGTCACGATTTTTTTAGCGTCAATCGGCATACTTATTTCTTTAAAATTTGGTGAAAAAAAACTAAAATTAAGTTGGTCATAAAATCAATCAATTAAATTGTAATTATATTTTAATATCTGATTGTATGGTCAATACAATCTTGAATCAATAAGTCGAAATAATTTATTTTTGATGAAGGCAAGAACCCAATTCATTGAGACAATCTGATCGCTCTAAGTAATATAAATATTAATGATAGATTTTCACCAAACAATAATTTCAAATAATATAAAACAGATATATTTATACACGAACAATAATTCCAACAAGCCTTTCGAAAACTAGATACTACAACACAATACAAAGTAGATTCCTTGCCGTAGGAACCACACGTCTTCTCTCTATTTTACGAGTCAGAACCTATGGGAGCACTGTCTTACTGTTTGCAGACCGCACTGTGGTCCCACAAGTATCGTAGACAAGAATTAATGGACTTGTAGATAGTTTGTCTAAGAATATTTAGGTACACCATACTAAAATAGAACTTATACTTAACATGGTACTGCTGAAAATTGAACAGAAACAGTTCCAACAATAATAAAATAAAAACTGCGTTTAAAAAACCGACTTCAAAAAACCAAAAACTCAAAACAAAAAGTCAAAACTAAAAAGCAAAAAATAAATTAAGTAATTATAAAAACAAAGCAAAAAATAACTATTATTAGCATGACTGATAGGTTACCCACCCACTGATAGGTTAGAAGTCGGTGCCATAAGCTCATATCATAATGATATAACTTAATGTCCACAAAATTGTGAATTAGATACCTATTAAGGTTTTAAAGAACAATTTTGTATGGAACTTATGGCACCGACTTCTTACCTATCAGTGGGTGGGTAACCTATCAGTCATGCTAATAATAGTTATTTTTTGCTTTTTAGTTTTGACTTTTTTTTGTTATTAGTTTTTGGTTTTTTGAAGTCGGTTTTTTAAACGCAGTTTTTATTTTATTATTTTATCATTTTCAGTGTAAAGCTACATATACCCGTTTTGTTACTTATAATCTACAAAGTCCTCATCAATACAAATTAATCAAGCCCAAACACAAGGTAGTTACAGTATACCGTTGAGAAGTTCCCTTAACAATTACACTTCTTCATCATCAGACCCTTTATGACAGCCCCACTCTATCTAGGTGTAAACTCCTCATCAATACAAATTAATCAAGCCCAAACACAAGGTAGTTACTGTATACCGTTGAGGAGTTCCTTTAACAATTACACTTCTTCATCATCAGACCTTTAATGACAGCCCCACTTTATCAAGGTGTAAATTCCTCATCAATACAAATTAATAAAGCCCAAACACAAGGTAGTTAATATAAACCGCTGAGGAGTTCCCTCGACTGTCTGTCGGCTCCATCATCAGGTCGACTCCAGACCCTTATCAAATTGTAGTGCTTAAAAATCCTAATTAAAAACCATAGTAGACGCATTACTCGCCCATAGAATTTTCGAAAGTTCCCCTCGGTTTCCCTAGGATCGCATCATCAGATCCTGACCTCATGGAAATGGGACCATCTCGGGAGTATACCCTTTCAAACGATACAAGAATTTTGGAAATCGGTTCATAAATGGCGGAGTACCGCACGAACAAACAAAAAAAAAACAATCACCGGAACATAGTACCTCCTCCTTTTTTAAAAATAATGCAATTACGTTTCAGATAGGTTTTAGTAAATATTTACGCACTACCTTATATGAATGCAGGTAAAGAAGAATGAGCTATACATTATTTTGTGGACCCAAAAGCACAGGGTATTGCAGCCACTTAGTTTACGGGTACCGAATATGCAAATAATAACTTTTTTTAAAGATAAAGATAAAGATATATTTATTTAGTAAAACATGAGTAATTACAATGAAGGTGTTTTTTTGGTTAGTAAAGAGTCTACATGTTTTGCAGTTTTAACGAATTTATCACACCGTCAGAAACTCCAACGTACTTCATCCTAACACAACATTATAATTACACAAAAGAAAACCCAATTGACTTAAAATAAACAAAGAATTACCGACAACACAATTTAAGTTAAGTTGACACCTTCATTGGAGAGTTAACTCAGATCAAGTTAAGTACTAGTGCTTAACGCGACCGGGGCATTAAGCCACTGAATCCGATTAACAGAGGCGAGGCATAAATATGGATGACGTGATGACGGTGTCAGTGAGATCCCGTAATCTGGAATATAGCGAGTGCCCTCCCTTTGTTACTGACCAACTTTGAAATGTTGGGTAAATAATAGGAGATACAAAGAAAGAGTAGCTTGGAAGTTGACACTATAACTGCTTTATAGGTCGAATTGTTGCTAACAGGGTGATAAACAAAGCAAGCGGTTTAAATTTTTCTCTGGAGTATGGCAATAGATTTTTCCTCTATATCACACTATTTGTTTTTATAACATAACAAGAGAAAAGTTGCTGCCTTTTTATTTAATTTAACGCACATATTGACTAACCCATCAGGGAATAAAAGCTGATGTTGAATTAAGTATGATTATAACTATCTCTGAATTTATTTCATACTGCCTCGTTGGCCGAGCGGTCGCAAGTGCGACTGCCGGGAAGGGGTCCCGGGTTCGATACCTGGGTCGGGCAGCAGGCAAAGGCGTAACGATGTATTTTTAAAAACGTCTCAGGTTTACTAGCCAACTTCACCTTAACAGTAATACCTCCATATAATGCTGACCAGGTACCTAATAACTTCTAATAATTTAATAAATTCAGTCTGAACCTATCATTAATCACTTCGGTCGATTCAACGTAGAAACTTCACCCATTAATTCGATAACTATTCACCCGATCGAATTCTAGTGAACTATGTATTCTGTGCTAAAACTAAGTCCGATATTCCGAACTGTTCTCGCTAAATTCCTGATACCTAACTAAAGCGAATCTTGTAATCCCGAATGAGAACTTGGCACTGAACAAATGGATAATGATAGAAACTGTCGATAGGAACTAATCCCGATTATTCGGTTCCACAAATGCTGACATTTGCTATCGACGTCGACGAAAGTAAAAAGATTGTAATTTTCCAAATTGGACCCGTAATGTTAACTAAAAAAAACCTAACCAAGAAAAAGTTTACGACTCCAAAGAGAAAAGGCGGTATGTTCAAGTTAAATATATATTTCCATAACCTAACATTTTGTCAGTAATAATAAACAATTCCAGGCTTCGTGATAATAATGTTAATTTTTGGAAACCGTAAACCGAACCGGAGATCTCTCGTCTCTACTAACAAGGCAGCTTTAGTCTCAACTTTTTCATTTAATAATATTACCTTCAATGAGATTACCGCTTAATAGGTGTCTACGGGGCATTAAATTGCACCCAAAATACACTCATATTAAATCCGTCCCTGTACTCCCTGTGTCTAATTTTGAGAAAACGTAGGGGAGCCATTTGTTTTTATTGCTCACCACAATGACGAAACTCCGACTTCATACACCTAAGCAAATTGTCGAAGAACATCGTAACTTTTATGCGAATAAGTATGGCCCAATTCCGACATTTTATTTTTCCGTATATCTCTGTGATGTATAAATTCTGCTATTTCCCCTCTTCCTTAAGTGGTTCGTGGACAGTGAAGTGAATTTGAAACTTGCTTTCATCTCTTGAATTAATATTCAGGGTTGTTTGAGAGACTCTCCAGATGAACCGAACATAATAGTAACTTTATAAGTGTTTTTACTATGTCATTAAGACTAATGAGAATAGAATAAAAATTAATACTTTGGAGAACAAAGGACCATGAAATAGAAGATTAGTTTATTGATAAACGGATGAAATACATTAAAAACAAACTTAACTTAGACTAACTGCTACGAAGAAATTCAACGACAGACAAAACAAATAAGAATTACAATAACAATTACTTATTCACTAAGTTAATTTTCGTATATTGGAGTCAATGGTACAGTTTGGGTTAGTCATGGCGATCTCTCTGAGAATCTATTACCAGCAGACAATCCATCGATCAAGGCAATAGATATTGTCGTCCCATGACAATGACCGCTTATATTATTCGATACACGTGTTTGACTCTCCCGTCTACCTAGATACATGTGTTTTGTCTGAATCTTGCAAAT